CAGTCTCCCTTATGTTCCAGCCATATAGTAACTTATCCATACACACCAGATTTTTCTACTTCACAGTCTTGGCCTTTGCTGTAACTTCTGCATCATATGTTTTTCTTCCAGATATCCATTTTTCTAATATTTATCCCTTAGACATCAGCTCAAATATCATGACATATGCAATAGATCTTATACCATCATTGACTTTCATCACATTACTCTGTTTTCATTTCCTTCACAGCATTTATCATTATCATGTTGACTTATTTATGTCCCCCAACCAGGACGTCAGCCATCTGAGGCAGAGACCCTATCAACCCTGTTACCACTGTATCCTTAGTTCCCACTGGCCCCTTCCCTGTCATTCCGTCTTAGTGGCCAATATAAAACAGGCTTTCATCAAATATTTAAGGAAGGAAAAGAGGGAAGAGGAATACAGGGAGGGAGGATAGAGTGAGCAATGAATATATAAAAGAAAAAGGAAGAGTGAATTTTTTCAAGCTTGATTTTTTTCCTAAGAGAAAAGGCTAAGAAGAAAGCTAGAATTGAAGTTTAGGGGTGAAGCACTGATGGATGGGGAAAGGTTGGAAGTATAGAAAAGCAGGCTCACCAGGCAGCTGTGAAGGATGCTGGATGGTTTGGCTCCTCCATCAAAAAGACATCTGAAATCATGCCTGATATCCTCCAGCCACCTGTAAGACAACCTCCAGATAGCATTTCAGAATGGAATCCTATATGGTTTTCATTTTGCTGAGTTACCAATCTCTGTCCCTTTCTACAGCTTAAGATACAGAAGCTGGAAGCTTCCTGTGCTGACCAAGAGAAGGAGCTGAACAAGGTAATGAAGTAAACACTACTTCTCCCAAAGGAAGAGAAACTAAATCCTCAACCAGACCATCTAACACATTGCTCAAGTGACTGAATTTTAAGGCTCCAGATCCATACCATTATGGGGCCAGGAAGGAGATAAAGAAAAAAAAGATGAATAAAATCCTCTGGGCTTACTTCTCTTTGATCTTTTTACAGGGTACATTCCATAATCTGTAAGCCCAACAAATTAGTATGCATTCTTCTCCCAACTTTTCCCAAATATTTCTCATTGGGATGGTAAAATATTAATTGTTTATCCTCAAAAAAATGAAATGAGTTCATATGTACAGAAAAAAAATTTAGAACAATTATAAAACTACATTTAGGAACTGGGATGTAGAAGGAAACAAGTATACTCTTGTTTATATAGCAGTTTACTGAGAGAAATTTAAGGCTAAATTTTTGCTGCTCAGGTAATGGAAGACTTTGCATTTGTGGCCCAGCTCTGTGAAGATCAGGCCCTCTGCATAAAGGTACAGCTTCTCAGTCAAGGGACAGCAAAGGGTTTATTAAGGTACAGGATGAAATGTATCCAGGCTTTTCAAAGAATACAGTCTGGAACAACTTTAACTCTTCAAGGTGGTACCACCAAAGGACTTTAGGGTTTTCGAAACCCTACCACCAATATCATTCTATTACTGCCCTGGTCTCCCAACCTCTGTGCTCTTAAATTACTAATGAGTACTTTTCCCATTTGTTTATAATTCCTATTGCCCTAGGGACCTGCCCAATAGTGAAGTGTAGTGACAGATCAATAGTGGTGGGGAGGGGGGCTAGGAAAGGAGATAAAGTGGCAGTGGGAATACCAAACATTCATGTAACCACATAATAATACACGCTTACTAGGAGTAGAAAAAGCATAAAGCTTCTGATCAGTAACTATGGTTTATTTTCTTTCTCTTTGAAGAAGTACCAAGAAACTTTGAGGAAAATAGAAGAAGAATTAGAGATTCGGTTCCTTGAGAAAGAAGTGTGAGCTTTGGCAAACAAAGGAACATCCTGGTTTTAGTGGTAACTCCATCTCAGCCTGGGTCAGAGCAAACATTTCTCTGACCAATTCCCAGTTGGAACTGAGTGAGCCCCCACACCACATGGCTTCCCCTGTTAGGATCCGGCTGACCCCCTTCGGACCACATCAATTTTAAAGAGCGGGTCCTTCTCCCATTCTTCTTAAAAGACCTGAGAAACACATCTCCCTTTATAATTTTACTATATTATCAACTATTTAAGTTTATATTAAGGCCAAGAACATATGCTTTTAAAAGAGTTATTGATTAGTAACCTTTAATTAGGACATTCCTTATATATCACAGAAAATCCCTTAAAACTTAATACCATCCTTACCTCCCCCAAACATATGAGAACTGAACCATATGGTATAAAAGAGAAACCAATCTCTAGACACAGATTAAAGCTATCATAGCATAAAATTTAAGCTATATTAAACTATAAACATTGAAAAGTAGAAATAATAAATAAGAGTCTAAATGGTGAGAAACCGAAACCAAAATCCTCACTTCCATTTCTTCACCCTCTTTGGAAGTCAAATCTAAATTCAGTGAAGTATTTCTATTTATTAAATATTTTGGGATCTTGGGAATCCAATGAAAGAGACCCAAACTGCACACAGCCTCTAACTAGGCCAAATACACACTGCAGCCTTGGAGTGAGGACACTAAGACTTGGAGATCCTCACCCCTAAAGGACACCTTCAAGTCTCCCTAAATTCTTCCTGAGCAGTAGGCATGGCTTGACTGTTAAGCTGAGATCCTAGAGCAGGGCTTCCCAATAGAACTTTCTCTGCTATCCAGTAGGTAGCAACTAGCCACCTATTGAGTGTAATGGAGAAACTGACTATTTTTCTTGTTAATTAATTTACATGTAAATGCCCATATATACTCACTAGCTATAATAGTGGACAGCATATCTTTAGATTCTAAAACTGTTTTTAAATAACCATCCCATAATATGAATATTCGAGAGTACTTATCCAATCCCTATTTTCGTTCCTTTCCACCAGATCAAAAGTCTTGAACATGAACTCTGAGAGAAAAGATTTCAAACACCAAAATAATAAGGTAAGCACTCCACTCCATCTTCAGTGTCTCTCAGTGCCAATGCCTTGCAAAGGAGTTTCCCAAATACTACACGCCAACAACCATACACCAGTCTTCCCATGTGCACTTTCCAAGAAGAGTACCAGGCATAATTCCAAGGCATTCTAAACCTAAACAGACAAAGAGGATACCAAGGAACAATTGTTTTTAGTCTTTTTATAGACACACAAATGACATGTTCTCAAAGAAAATAGCCTAAGACCTCAGAGAATTCAGAATGGAAATAAGAAGGAACATTTAACTGAGGGTACACTCTGTGGAGAGGGGCCAGCGCATGACACGTGCACCACTCACTCCTTCCCCCTCTACCCATCACAGTTCTCTTCCCTGTGAGCCCAACACAGTCCCGAATCTCCCACAACACAGACCACCAGGCATCTCTCACCATCTAATCAGAGTTGGTTTGTGAATCAAAAGATAGGAAGTCATTGCTGCTTTATGATTCAGCTTCAGTGTCTGTTCTTATTTAATATCATGATGTCACCAGAACACATGCAAAGGCCAGAAGGAAATAGAATTGGATACGAAGCACCAGGGGTCTTAGCCCACATGGCATCTAATAGCAGCAAGTATATAAGACTAAAAGATAAATTTTTGTTGGACTTTGTCTTTGTAATTTATACTGTCCTTAGAGCCAAGGTTAGCATTCACCAGAAATTTTATAATCTCAGAAAAGAAGCAAGTATCAATAATTAACCATTGACTGTCCTTGGAGTCATCAGATGTTTGGATGTTTTTTTAGGCAGTGTTCACAGTGGCCATGGTTCCCATTGTCTTGAACCAGTTATTCTGACCCCAAGATTGTGTATCTATTCAGTAAACAACTTCTGAAATTAAACCTTCTAGCACTAAGCTTGTCATGCTCCCTGATGTGTCCCATCATCTACCCCCAGTGGCTCATCAAAGTATTCCCTCAGACTACCTTCCAGAGGACAAACAGAGCTGTCTTTATGAAGATTATCAATCCCATGATGGTTCTATGACCTATGATGTTTGAGCAGTTATTGTAGAGAGGCTACCTGAGCAGCCCACTGGGTAGCATGCCACTTAATCTCAAGCTATAGAACCAAATGTGTAACCCAGAAAGCTTCTCATTCTAATTCCACTAGCCTCACTTCCACAATTTTAAATGATTATAATTCCTCTTCCTTTTTTTGTTTATCTCACAAGGAAGTTAAAAGAAAAATGAAATAACTAAGAACATATTTTAGAAAAGTGATGCCACAGAAATCCAGGATATATCCTCACCTTCACATTTTTTAAGTTTTTAAGCTTGTCCCTTTGTATAAGTTTGTATTGTTTTCACAGCTTGTAAACCTCTCTAAGGATTACTAGCTAAGGAGAAGGCAAAAGTGTGCTTGAGAGCCCAGAATCAGAATATGGATCTTCAGGCTCACTGATGTCCAGCAACATACTTTACCTTTCTATGACTTCATTTATTTCTATCATTATATTAAAAATGTTACATAAATTTTTATACACATACAGTTATCTTTGAAAATTTTATCTTTTTATGCATATAAAATATGTGTGACATTATCTAAATATAACACTTAACTAATGGTTCACTGAATATTATTTGACACTGATGATAGCTTCCAGAAATTGCTAATTTATCAATGTCCCTTCTTTTTCTCTCAGGTTAAGTCTCTCCAAAATAAAGGAATATGGGTCTGTAAAAAGTAAGTAAATATCTTTGAGTATACTTTCTTGGGGTCATGCATAGCCATCCAGGCAGAAAGCAAAGTGTAGACAAGAAGAACCTCGTACACACACAGAGTCAGCAAACTGGTGTCATTGATGACTACGTTTCTCAGTTCTAAAATGATGGCCACCTTCTTCAAAGGCAACTAATCTCAATTTTCCAGTATTCAAAATCAATGGCCTAATAGCAATAAGGAACAAGAATCATATCATCTAAAACAAATGTGGTAAATCTTACACTCATTCCCCTTTGCCTTTAACAATTTGTACTAGCTTAGGTATCTGGTTCCTCAGTAACTTCAGTGTATTAGAAATAGGGAGATTTTTTGTGGTTCATAACCATATGACGATTGGGTTTTCACGCTATTTTTGTGTGATATTCCTCTCTCAAACTTTGTTACACTGTTAGTACATATTCTTCTGACATGAAAAAATATGTGTAGAAATGGAGAGATAACTTCTAAGTTCAAGTATACCACTGCCTAACAGCAGATAAAAGAGAGAGAAAAATGACTGTGAAAAAGAGATAGCACTTAACATCATCCAGCACATTATAATTGCTTGAAAATACTTGTTAAATTTAAAAAGGACTCAAGATTCAAACAACTGAGAAGATATTGTCCCTGAAGCATCCACTGTGATAGCAAAGTAAAACTGGTATTCATGAAGCTCCTGCATTTTCAAGAAAAGGTCAAATTATGTTCAATATGATCTGTTTAAGAAGGCATAGAGAAACATATATTCAAGGTAGTATGGAAAAGGATTTAGAAAGAATTCCACCAAAATGGTTAACATAAAATTAAAGGTCAGCTCCAATTTTCTGGCAATTTTGTTTAAGGGGAATATCCCTTTATACCAGGTAAGTAAAGTATTGTTTTGATATCTCTAAATACACAATTCCAAGGACAACTAGCAGAATTATCCTTAAAACTCCCAGTCTGTCTTTAATATGTACTTTAATACCAGTGCCCAGCATGGAATTGCCCATGTGAGATCCCAGAATAAGAACTGTGTGCCTTGCAAAGAGTTGGTGTCCTGGAAAGAACCTTACCACATCCTGCAAATCTAGTTTATCAGATCAAACTACAAATGTCTTCCCTCTTATCCTGCTGCAACATCCTGTGGGGACACTGGTATATTGGGCACTGACTCAAAAGATAAGAAAATAGAATATTCCTAGAATTTTCCTTGGAAATGTCAACCCACAGATGTCATCTTGAAACCTTCTCATGGGTATCATACCCAGCTTCAGGGAAAGCAGTGGGAAGAGGTTTGTAAAGGGCTTCTGATCCCAATTCTGATCAAGATGCTGTACTAGAAAGGATCCTGGCTCCTGTTACCAAGATTAACTCTACCAGAAAACTTTAAATACAGGAATGGGGGGAGAAGGTGCTGTTTTTGACTGGTGAGGGCAAGTGGGTAGTGAATTTGTTCTGGGGCAGGAGGCAGCCCAGCACAGCTGGATAAGGGTAATATAGGAAAAAGAAAGAAATTTACAGGAAAAGTTATTAAAATTTATTAGGAAATTTTAAAGGTAACATAAATGAAAGACGAAAATACCATAGTTATGGGTAGGAAGCCTTAGTATCATAAATACATCAATTCTTTCCAAATGATTAAGTGAGTCAATTCAATTCCATATTCCCCAAAAGATTTTTCATGCATGAATAAAATGATCCTAAAACATATTGTATGTGAGACTTCTAGTCTCACATTCAGTATTGTGATGGTGGAGGTACAGGTAAACATGTGTTACCTCTGCACACAACTATAGCAAAAAATAAACAGATTACAAAACAAATATCACCTAGAATTGTCAGCAAATCAAGCTTGTGGAAGTCCAATAACAAAGGATCTAAAGAAGCAACATTATTCCCAATGAGTAGGGGAGGCAGAGAGGTGGAGGGGGGCAGAGGAATGAAGATGTGGAGATGCGAGGCACAGAGACAGGAATGGGCAGTCCCACATGCACGTGTGTTAGACAAAAAATGTGAGGAATGCCTCAGGAGCAAGGGATCCCAGCCCCAGTCCAGTCCACCCAGGCCAGGGTTCCAGCACCAGAAATATTCATCTCCATAACTTCTGGCTGTGAAAACAGCAGCACAAACTGCCAGATTCTCAAGGGACTCTTCTTAAAGAGCCTCAATGGACTTAAGACTCACAAGGACCCACCCCCTCTGAGATTCAAAACCAGGACACAACTGGAAGGGCATCAGTGGCATATGGGGAGAAAGTGAAGTGTGAGTGAGGAGACAGCTTCCTCCTGGGCAAAACTCTAGAGGCCGGGCAACAGCATTATCCCCACTGAGAGACCTCCCCCACACAGAGCAACAAAGCAGTGACATGGGTTGCCCTTCCCTGGTAATTACCTAAGGCTCCACCACATGCAACTTAACAGGTATGCTTTTCTATAATAGGCCACACTACTAAGACAGGGAGTCAGAGCAGCTCTACCTAACATGCTGAAACAAATATAGTGAGGCTGCCAAAATGAGGAGACAAAGAATTATGGCCCAAATGAAAGAACAGAACAAAACTCCAGAAAAAGAATTAAATATAATGGAGATAAGGTACCTATCAGATGCATGGTTCAAAACATTGGTTATCAGGATGCTCCAGGAACTCTTTGGATACTTCAATGGCATAAAAAAAGACCCAGGCATAAACGATGGTTGCATTAAGTAAAACAAAGAAAAATCTACAGGGAACCAACAGTGGAGAGGATGAAGTCAAGAATCAAATTAATGATTTGAATATATACAAAAAGCAAGCTCTGATGTGTTGAGGACATAGATATTAAAAAATTGGCATTAATTATCTACTATCACCTAAAAAATGATTCCAAAACTTACTGGCTTCAAACAACAAACTTATCATTTCAGTTTCCATGGATCAGGAATTTGTGAATCACTTAGCTGGGTGGATCTAGCTAAGGGTCTTTTATGAGGTTATAGCTGGGATGTTGGCCAAAGTTACTGTCATTGGAAGGCTTGGCTGGGGACAGAGGATTTATATTTAAGGTAGTTTATACACACATCCAGCAAATTGTGTTAGTTATTGACAAGAGATCTTAGTTGCTCATTGCATGGACCTCTGCACAGTACTGACTGTGTGTCCTTGCAACACGACAGCTGGCTTCCTCCTAAGAGTAAGAAGGAAGCTGTGATGCCTTGAGTACATAGTCTAGGAAGTCACACACTGTTGCTTCCTCAATATTTTATTATTTGAAGCAAGTCACGAAGTCCGATCCACTCTCTAATGAAGGGGAATCTCTTAAAGGGAGAAGCATCATAGACTTTGTGGACATATTTTTAAACTACCATAAACTCTTAATGAAAAATAGTATCTTTTAGGCCTTTGGATAGGACATGATTTTTTTAACAAAACACACAGAGTGTTGATTCTAATTAAAGAAAGGATTGGTAAACTAGACTTTATTAAAATTATTAACTTGTTCTTTCACAGTTTAGAGCAAGTGAAAATTATAAAATCGAGGGAAGATACTAAAATGCACACAGTGGAAAAGGACTGATATCACATATAAAGATCTCCTACATTTAATAAGAAAGGCCAAACAACCTAGAAGATGAGTGGGCAAGAGGAAAGACATAAGGCCAATAAACCTATGAATAGATGTTCAGCATTATTGTTTGTCAGGAAAATGAAAGCCAAGACCATAATAAGACATTACTTTGTACCCAACCTGATGGGCCAAATTTTTTAAATTTGAGCCAATCAAGTGTTGGAGAGGATGTAGAATCACAGAAATGTAGGCCAATGATGTATAATTTGGTATCACTATTGTGTAAAACAATTCTCAGAAACAAAAATAATAAAACAGAAAATAAAGGAGCAAGATCATTGCAGACAATGATATGTGCCAGAAGACAATAAAACCCAGTAGTAGGAGAAAGAGTAGCCAGCTAGCAGGCCAGCACAGGGGAGGGGGCTGCCTTTGTATGGGGTTTTGGGGAACAGAGGCAGCCATGAGTGGGAGACATCTGAATACCAAGAAGGAGCCCAACATGCATTTACATTTGACTTACTATTTTGTTCCTGGTTTTCTAACCTCTCGTTAACAGTTGGTCGGCTTTCTCTTTTCAGGATTTTTCGATACTTCTTTTTCACCACCCTGTTTTTCATCAGACTGCTGGGCTACCTGTTCTTCCATATAAGTTTTATAAATCCAGATGTCCTCATCAACATACTGCCCGCGATACTAAGCAAGGGCATCCTGTGGAAGCTAAGATGCCTCCTCTTCCCATCTCTCACGCTTGAGGCAGAGGACATGTTACCTCACTGATCCCCAAGAAATATCCTTGAGCAAAAGAAACAAGTGGTGTCAGTCTGGGAGATGGCAGAGCTTGTGAAGGGAAAAGGTTTTCTTCAGTTTTCCCCTTGAGGTTTGCCTACTCGATCATCTTCCCTTCCCACACTGTCTTTCCAAGATTGACTTGCCCAGTAAAGAGTTCTGTCAACAGATTTCTGTGGCTATATGGACAAGCTAAAGAGTACTGGACAGTACACCAAACTAGATCATTTCTAGAATAATATCATAGATGCCAAGCAAAGTTAGAATTTATCAATTCTTCTCTTCAACCTTAATCTAAGAAACTGGATCCCTGTAATACAGAAGATTGCTCCCTACTTACATCAGAACTCTTTGGTTGCAAGTGACCTTAGCTGAAGCTAATTTATGAATTTATAGCAAAAAAATATTGGCTCATGAAACTAAAAATATGAGGTTCATGCATGGCCAAATTCAGAAACCTCAAAGCAATGTTATTTGGTTTCATCTCCCTCTTCTCTCTTTGAATGGGCATTCTCCTCTTGGTGACGATGTCTTCAAGAAGGTGGGAAGGAGAGATAGATATATCACCTGCATACCAGATGAGTTCTACAATGGAAAAAGAGGATAGGGCGGTTCCCATGCCTCTGTCCAACAGGTGACGTCAGAGCTGTGGGCTACGTTAGTCTGAAAAGGAAAGTAACATGCCAAGCACTATGTAAACTGACCCTCTGCCAGCAAAGCAATTCTTACCTGGAAGACTAAAAGTACGTGATACCTTAAATGAATATTTTATATAGAAGTAACCAAATAGAAGTACCAAAAACTTAAGCGACTTTCTTAATCTGCTAAATTGCATGTAGCAGGTTAATTCTTAACCCTAAGCTTCAGAGAAAACCAAAGTCTTTTCTCCTGTCAATTACTAGAGCAATATGCAAACACCTGTAGTCTGACAATACAAATAACTGTGAGTTATTTACCCAGCACCCTAAATGGAAACACCCTCTACTATGTCAGTAAGATCTGCACTGCACACACCATTTACTGCTGCAATGAACGGCAGTAGAATCCTGGGATCCCGTGGAAGCTGGCAGTTGCTCCACATGGGGTCATCAATACTGCATGAAACTGGACTGTA